CTGAGGGAAGCAGGCTCCCCGCTGAGCAGAGAGCCCGATGTGGGACTCGATCCCACGACCCTGAGATCATGACCTGAGCCGAAGGCAGCAGCCTAACCCACTGAGCCACCCAGGCGCCCAATAAATAAAATCTTTTAAAAAAAATAAATAAAGGAGGTCCATCTTTAAAAAAAAATTAAAAGTAAAATAAAAAATCAGGACCTTTATATTTCAGCAGCCTGCTTGGCATAAAGTAAATACAATCAATCCTTGAACAATACAGGGGCTGGGGAGTTGACCCCTGAAGAGTTGAAAATCCTCATATTACTTTCAGCACCCCCAACACTTAACTAGTAGCAGCCTGCTGTTGACTGCGAGTCTTACCAGTAACATAAACAGTCAACGCACATTTCGTATGTTGTATGTATTATACACGGTGTTCTTGAAATAAAGGAAGCTAAAGGAAAGAAAATATTAAGAAAATCATGAGGAGGGGCACCTTGGTGGCTCAGTGGGTTAAGTGTCTGACTCTCGATCTCAGTTTAGGTCTTAATCTCAGTGTTGTGAGTTCAAGCCCCACTTAGAGCCTACTTTAAAAAAAAGAAAAAAAAATCATAAGGAAAATAACATTTACAGAACTGTACCATATTTAAGTGAAGTGATAATACACATCTAGATTCATGCTGTTCAAACTTCTGTTGTTCAGGTGTCAGCTGTACTTAATAGACTTTTTGGATGAAATGAATGTATGAATAATGGTAATATCTGATTCAGATATTCACCTAGAGATGATTCCTTTATGCCCGGGATTTTCATGCTTTTGTAAAGAACAAAAAGAGGTCCAAAAAAATGAGTGAAGGTGGCATTGTAGGGATTCCACTAGGCTTTGCTTCCCTGTTCTCCGCTGTGGAGTTGGCCCTTCGGGCGCCACTTAGAGTAACCAGCTGTACGGCAGTTGGGTGAACTGAAAAAGACCTCAGGATTTTAGAGAGCCTCGTACTACTTTAGATTCCAAAAAGCTGAAACCATTTGAGAAGAAACCATTTGCTGAGAGAAATAAGTGTTGTCATCATCATTGCAAAACAGTAACAAAAAACCCCAAGGCTCAAATACATGGGGCCCCCAGATCCACCCTCAAAGCATCAGTGTGCCCCCACGCCCCTCGACAGAGCTCGGGACAACCAGCCTCACTGCATCTACTGCCAGCAGCCACTGAGTTTTCTGGCTACTTCTCTTTGCCCCTCCTCCCCCTGTCCCTGCCTTGCTGAGCTCTCTCTCACACACACTCCCTTTCCTGTATTTGCTTCTGCTGTTTCCTCTGCCTGGAATGCCCTTCTCATTCATTTTCTAGCATTATGAAAGTAATCCCATTCTTTAACTTTCTCCCACTCGTTCAGAAACATGTTTGAGGGCTGGCTCTGTGCTAGGCGGGTATGGAACTAGGAGGACATAGGCCCCTTACGAGGTCACAAATTAACACAACCGATCGGGAACTCGGTTACATGAATTCAAGTTCTGGTCCAGCTGTGTATTAGCTGGGGAAGATTTGGTTCCGTTTTGAGTTTATATTTTTTCACAACTTAAATCACATAGGTAAACTAAGCTTTTTCCCAAAAACTTCAAGCACATCCCTGAGGGGCCCTCCTCTGTCACTGTTAACGTCCCAGAGACAACCACTTTTGGTTGATTCATTTGATGTGTTTCAAAATAACATGCTGATATTGCTAGTTCCTGATTTTTTTTTTCTCCATTTTAGGCAATATATAGTATGGAAAGCAAAAATTTAGCTCTCTTTCATTCCCTGCACATCCTTCTCCCCAGATACCTGCAATCATGCTCACTTCCCATTCTACTGCAAGAAGTTTTGGCAATATGTTAGTCACAGTAGTATTAGTTTTTACATGTATGAAAACACTGTTCTTGCAGAGTCTTCTGGTGACTAGATTACTATTCCTTTTCTGTATAACTCTGTTTTCACTGGAATTAATAATCTTTTTCAATTTTTTGGTCTGTCTTTCCTGTGTACTTTTCAGCAGTTTAACCACAAACTCTCCCTAGGCTGTAGAAATCATTTTAAAAAAAGAATACTTTTAATTGCATTTATGTGTTCTGTCCATTTTATCTTGAAGAAATCTCAGTCTCTTAACTCAGTGAAATCTGGTTTGGTTGCTCTCTAGGCCCAATTTACAGTCTTATCTTGGAATTTCTTAGTCATTCCCTTTGCCTCACTTTTTTGTTAGATTTCCTGACTTGGGTTTTTTTGCTTTACTTCCTCATTTTGGTGGAGCTTATCCTGTGGTAGCTTCCTTATTCATAGTAGGTAAATTCTTGAGACCTTAAAAGTCTGGAAGTGTCTTTATTTTATGCTCACACATATGAAACCTTGTGCATAAAATTCTGGCTCAGAAATCATTTCATTCAGGTATTTGAAAGCATGGCTGTACCATTTATTTTAGCTTTCACTGTTGTGCATAGGAAGTTCGAAGTCATTCTAATATTGGCTCTTTGGGTGTGACCCATTTTCCCCCTAGAAATTTATGTTTCCCCTTTGTTTACAGTGTTCTGAAATGCCTTGATGATACACCTTGCTGTGTACATTTATTATTTATTAATAAATGGTGTCCCCATGTAATCAAGAGACTCCTATCCTTGCATTGTGAGGAATTTTGGCCTGTCTCATTTGGTGATTTCCTTTTCTGTCTTCCTTTTGTCTGAAATTGCTGTTATTTTGCATGTTGGTTCTCCTGAGTTGATTTTCTAATATTTCGTGTTTTCTCCCTTTTCTTTTTCTTTCTCTCCCCCCACCACTTTCCTGCAGATTTCCTCAGCTTTACATTCCAAACACCCTGTTGAATTTTTTATTTATCAGGCTTTTTAATTCCTAAGACCTTTCTGTTTGTTTTTGTTTTGTTTTGAACTTTGATGAAATCCAGTTGATCTATTTTTTCTTTTTGTGGAACATGTTTCTGGTGTCATTTCTAAGAACTCTGCCTGCCCCTTGATTCTGAAGATTTTGTCTTTTTTTCTTAAAATTTTTATAGTTATACGTTTTACATTTAAGTCTGTGGTCCATTTTGAGTAAATGTTATGTAAGGTGTGAGACTTTTATTGAGATTCATTTTTTGCTTCTTTGTTCCAGCAACCTTTGTTGAAAACGCTGTCTTTCTTCCATTGAATATGTTTGTCAGAAATTAGTCAGGCATATTTGTGAGGGCCCATCTTCAGAACGTTCTCTTTCTTTTTTTTTCTTAAAGATTTTATTGATTTATTTGATAGAGACACAGCGAGAAAGGGAACACAAGCTGGGGCGTAGG